CGGATGTGACGTAATCTCGGATTCCGAAAATCGGATCCCGAGGCAAATGGAATGCACGAACTGAACTGGCACTGCGGGCCATGATACAGACATGGCAAGAAAACTCACCATATTCATCTGCGCTCTTTTCGCGTTTTTACAGGTAAGTCCGTCGGCTGCAGGGCCTGTCGCCAGCGGATTTAGGTTTAAAGAATTTTTTTTTATACTTCAGACATAGTCGACACTCGTTTGCCTGAAGTTTGTCGGGCATTACGTGGTGTTCATGATAAAACAGCCAGTCCGTAAACAAACATGGGGCTTTAATTCCGATACAGTAGCTCACCAGGAAACCGGGAATCGTCGTGTGTCTCTTTCTACTTTTACTTATTTTACGTAAGCTTATTTTTCTGGCTGTCACTTTGCCCCTTTAACAAAAGTTTCTTTTTAAAGCTCTTTGTACCAACACGACGCTTTTTGTGGTTAATATACAGTCATCAGTAATTCGTGTCGGCGTTGTCATTAATGGTCAGTTATAAGCGTGACATTTTATACGTTTTGTCGTTTTCAGGTGAACTGCCAGGAGGGGATTTTACACGTCTCTGGTGGATCTCAGGAAAAAGAGTACTGCCTTGTCTACAATTCCTCCTTTTCTAGTATTTCAGTGTCTCTGAATGACGCCGTAAGTATTATTCTGCTACAGCTTGTAAGCTGATACATTTATACAAACCAATTTACCCCGTTGTATTTCTACGTGTAACAACCTGCCTGTCAACCTGTAAGTGATATTTATGAAAACTTGTGTCAAACTTGGTAGTAACCTGTTGTAGAGCGCATATGACACATCTACAACTATTGACAAGTTTCTAAAACGTTATATAGTCTCTAAGAAGACTTTTTGTCTCATTTTTACAATCTACAATATACAAAATTCTATCAGAACCTATTTTTAAGTTACTTACACCTACTTAATAAAACGGGAAGTTTGGAATGTGAACCTGCTATGCTTGGAACACAAGTTTATTACTTACTCTCTATATCAGCTGCTGTCCATTAGTAAAATGCCAGGACAATAAAGAAGTATGAAGATAAAGGATGACACTAACTACCCATGACCTGATTTTTGTAGCACGGAAATTTCAGTTCCTCATCTTTCCATATGCCGGGTTCAGTGCGAACCACTTGCTTACCGCTTGATAGCTGGGAATTTCCCTACCTCAGACCTCTCTAACTCCAGACTGGGGAGCTACAATCCAGTAGGTTTTTCTAACCTACCTGGCTTCTGATGAGTCACACTCTTTCCTGGTATTTACCTGAGAACAGGTGTAACTCATCAGGTCGGATAGAAAACCTGCTGGACAGTAGCTCTCCAGGACCCGAGCAGGGGTCCCATGCCATAGATAGAGCTGAGGCCAGGTTGCTGAAGCACTCTTTGTGTTCGTGATGCTTGCAGATTGATTACCAGCTGGTGAACCTGTCGTCCAGCTTCCTGTGCAGTAGCTCTGATGTACGACCCAATGAGCTGAAGGGGAAAGCGGTGGTTGTCATGAGGGGCAACTGTACTTTCGGCCAGAAGGCCCAGGTGGCTCAGGACTCGGGAGCCACCACCATCCTCATTGCAAGCGAAGAACCTTTGGTACCTGGACCTGTGCTCCTTTGAGTAATATTTATGGAATATATATTAGGGGTGTAACTGTGCACAGATTCATGGTTTGGTACACACACCTCGATTTTTGGTTCACCGTTCAGTGCTGTTTCAGTGCAGTAAGGAAAAC